CAAATGAGGAGGAGGGCAGGCTGGGGAGTATGGTGTGTGTGTGTGTATGTGTGAATGGGTATATGGTGTGTGTGTGTGTGTACAGGTATATGGTGTGTGTGTGTGTGTACAGGTATATGGTGTGTGTGAGTGTGTGTGCGTGTGTGTGTATGTGTGGGTGGGTGTATGGTGTGTGGGTGTATGGTGTGTGTGAGTGTGTGTATGGGTATATGGGGTGTGTGTGTGTGTGTGTGTAAGTGTGTGGGTATATGTTGTGTGTGAGTGTGTGTGTGTATGGGTGTATGGTGTGTGTGGGTGTATGTGTGTGAGAATGTGTGTGTGTATGGGTATATGGGGTGTGTGTGCGTGTGAGAGTGTGTATGTGTGTGTGGGTGTGGGTGTATGGTGTGTGTGAGTGTGTGTGGGTGTATGATGTGCGTGAGTGTGAGTGTGTGGGTGTATGGTGTGTGTGACANTGAAGTGTGTGTGTGTGTGTGTGTGTGTGTGTGTGTGTATGGGTATATGGTGTGTGTGAATGTGTGTGTATGGGTGTATGGTGTGTGTATGGTGTGTGAGAGTGTGTGTGTGTGGGGTGTGGGTGTATAGTGTGTGTGTGTGTATGGTGTGTGTGTGTGTGTGTATGGTGTGTGTGTGTGTGTGTATGGTGTGTGTGTGGGTGGGTGTATGGTGTGTGTGTGGGTGGGTGTATGGTGTGTGTGAGAGTGTGTGTGTGTGGGGGTGTGGGTGTATAGTGTGTATGTGTGTATGGTGTGTGTGTCGGTGTATGGTGTGTGAGTAAATCTCTAGTTTTAACTGCTTTTTTATTCACCGCTCTCAAATAGCTTATCTTAGTATTCTTTCCCTCTACCCTAAAGCTAATATCCAAATAAATCCAAAGTCTTGTCTAAATTTGCAATTTGGCTTTCTTTATCTGACTCTGTCTAAGCTCCCTCAGAAGTGAACACTAGTGTCTACGTCTGTGCATTTCCATTTCCTCACTTCCTCTCGGGTCGGGGCTCCACCAGCTCTGTCCTAAGCGGCCTTATGGCTCATGGTCCTCTCACGTGGAAGGCTTCCTCGGTGCCTCACGTAGTGAAGAACCTGCCTGCAGTATAGATGTGGGTTCGATCCCTGGGTCAGGAAGATCCCCTGGAGAAGGAAATGGCAACCCACTCCAGTATTCTTGCCTGGGAAATGGACAGAGGGGCCTGGCGGGCTGTGGTTCATGGGGTCACACAGAGTCGGACACGGCTGAGCAACTAAGCACGCACGCCTCTCATGGGGAACAATCTTCCTCATACTTAGCATCGTATTAGCTCAAATTTCTTTCAGATCTGTTTGGAGAAGGAGCAAGGGCACATGAGGTGAAATGTGAGCTTATTTTCAGCTACAGGACCAAGGAAACTACAACTGTCTGCAGCTTAGAGGACGGAACGCTGTCACAGAGGTTCTACCGTTTTCCATTAGGAATTGGTATTTTTCATGTTTATGATAATGAACATTATCTGGATGTTTCCTTCCTGTATTTTTATTGGAAAATATTCTTTATGGAAGATGTGCAAGTCTCTAAAGAGACACAAATATATGAGCTAATTTTTTAAAGCAAATATTTGATGTGATTTCATTCTTATCTCCTTGGACATTAGAACCATCAGCACTTGTCACCCTAAAAAGGCAAAAACATCCTTCTTGCAAAACATGAGACCAATTCTGTATGCTGTATAAAAGTTTTCATGTCATCGAGCTTTTCTTCCTATTAGTGATTTCAATTTAGCACCAGTGTTTTTCATACCATAAATCTCAAAACAACTTTGGGGAAACAGGACATTTATACTTCTATTTAATTATGGGTTACAATGATAATAATTGTATAGAAAAATAAAAAGAAATTCGGGTGGCAGGTTTCTAACAGACACATCGACCACCACACAATCAACCAAATTCGGTTTGAAAACAAGGTTTCAGAGTCCTGTTTCTTTAGTAAATATCAGGAAGTACTCATAACAGAAAACATCAGGGAAGCACATCTAGCTGTAAGGTGCAGTGGTGCTTGTGGGGTCCATGAAAAGAAGCGAGTGGTCGCTCCCCTCTTGCCAGTCTCTGGCCTCACATGAAACCTCCTAAATCACAGGTGAGGTGGAGTCTCCCTGTGGAATGTGTCCTTCCTGTTTCAGAAGAACCTACTGATTATCACTAGGGCTGATGCCCGACAGTCACTGTGTCCATGCTAAGTCGCTTTAGTTGTGTCTGACTCTTTGCAAACCTATGGACTGTAGCCCTCCAGGCTTCTCTGTCCATGGGATTCTCCAGGCAGGAATATTGCATGGGTTGCCATGCCCTCCTCCAGGGGATCTTCCCAACCCAGGGACTGAACATGAGTCTCTTATGTTTCCTGCATCGGCAGGTGGGTTCTTTAACACTAGCGTCACCTGGGAAGTCTGACACAGTCATTGAGTGGCCATAAAGCTGGGGTCTCTGAGTGTGTGGCCTGGGAACGGCTCCTAGGTCTTCCCTCATGTTCACCGAGACCTGGAATCCTGGGCTTCTTCTTGAGCAAAAAGGCCGATCATTCCACATGGCCCCCACCCCCAGGAGGCCTTGTCTCCTGCCACTAACACACAGTGTGCAGGGTGAGGAGCTGAGGAGACAGGAGGCGCCTTGGTGGATGCCGCACCTGGTTCCCAGATACTGGGAGAGGGGCTACAGGTGGCTTGAGGTCAAGGAGGGGACCCTCTGAGGGCTCCCTTTTCCTACTCCCTTGGGAGAAACTTCTCAAAAGAAGTGCGGGCACCTGTCCTTCCTAATGCAGACAGAACTCACCCTGGACTAGGGGGGAAGGAAACTCGACATCTTCACTGTTTGCCTTGAAGGCTGCTGCATCTGTTCCATGTAGCTTCATGCATTTGGCAGAGACGCCACTGCAGGTGGGTCCCAATGCAGTAACATTCTCGTTAAATGGTTCACGAGCAAAGATGTGCAGGGGCCTGGACCTACTAACCCTGAGTCAGATGTCAGTGCAACACAGATACGGACATAGAGGTGGGAAAAAATATGGATTAACCAAGAAACGGACCTGGAGAAAACAGGTGACGTGAGGATCCCTCCCGTGAGTAATAGGAAGATGCCAGAATTGTGGTGCTGGAGAAGACTCTTGAGAATCTCTTAGATAGCAAGATCAAATCAGTCAATCCTAAAGGAAATCAACTCTGAATATTCATCAGAAGGACTGATAATGAAGCTGAAGCTCCAATAATTTGGCCACCTGATGCAAGGAGCCGACTCACTGGAAGAGACCCTGATGCTGGGAAAGATTGAGGGCAGCAGTAGAAGGGGCGGCAGGGGAGGAGGTGGTTGGATGGCATCGCCGACTCAATGGACATGAATGTGAGCAAACTCCGGGAGACAGGAGAGGACAGAGGAGCCTGGCGTGCTGCAGTCCATGGGGTCACAAAGAGTAGGACACAGCAACTGAACAAGAACGAATTATTAAACGACTGAGTCAGAAATCAAAGCATAGGAGAGACAAGGAGAAACAGGGGGTCAGGTGAGAGCCCCCACTTAGGAAGCAAGGTGGGCACTATTCCTGCAGCCCCACACCTCCACTCAGCCGGGATGGGCACGTTCCAGAAGTATTTCAACGAAGTGTGCAGCAGATGTGAGCTCAGCCAGTGCCCTGGCCTCCCCACAGTCTCACTTAATCCTGAATAAGCTGCCTGTCTAACATCTGAGCAAACTCAAGCCCAGATAGATGGCGGTTATGCAGCTAGTTTCTTGGCAGAGCCTGGATTTGAATTCGAGGCTTCTAAACCTTAGCCTAAGACTGTTTCCACTATGCTTTCTAATGTTTGGACATAAGATTCCATGTGTCCAGAACAGATCGTCTCATCAAAAAAAAAAGATACCTTTTGGAAGCCTTACTGGCTTCATTCTCTTTACACTGAATTTCCTGCTAAGTGTGCTCATGGGCTGAAAACCTCAGTCCCAACACAGAGAGCTGGTTTGGCCGAGGGAGAGGCTCGTGCCTGCGAACGCTGACTGACCAAGATGTTCTCACCTGGCTCACAAGCAATATACTGGCTTCTACTCACAAGTATTCAGGCTTTGAGAGCCCAAGGTGAGGAACCCCAGACTGGCCACTCTAACAAAAGATACACTTTTGTACCGACCATAGTTACTGGTGGCTCAGTGGTAAAGAATCTGCCTGCCCATGCAGGAGATGTGGGTTTGATCTCTGGGTCAGGAATATCTCCTGGAGAAGAAAATGGCAACCCACTCCAGTATTCTTGCCTGGAAAATCCTATGGAAAAGAGGAGCCTGGCGGGCTACAGTCCATGGAGTTCCAAAGAGTTGGACACGACTTAGTGACTAAACAACAACAGTTACCTGGGTGAAGAATATAAGTAAGGCTCCCTTAGAAAACCAAAAATGCTTAACATCAGAGGGTAATTTAAGTTAAAGAGAAGGCACTGAAATGTTAGAATGGGGACAGCTGAGAATAACAAGTAGGACATGGTCCCAGGTCTGTCATTAGTAGCTGGTGACCTCAACCAAGAGGCCAAACATTTTTGAGTCTTGGATCCTTCCTTTGCCCTGTGAGCCTCATGTGGTTGCTTGAAAAAAGAAAAATTTCAATGCCCAGAGAATCAAAAGGCTTGACAGTCTTTGAGGTACATGTGTTGTATATCTGAAAGTGATGGATCATTTTTTTTGTTGTTTAGGTTTGGGAAGAAGCAAAAGTAACAACGGGAGGGGAGCTACTGTCAAGTCTCTCCTGGGGTGTTTTTGCTTCTGAATAAGCTATCTTCCAAACCTGCCCAGTTCTTTTGGATTCAAATGGCACCTCCCTCCAGTCTACACCTGTATCTTGTGAGTTGGAGCAGTGCGATGCGAGATTGAGCTTTTCGGCTCAATCTAGTCCGAGCCTCGCAAGTGGAGTTTGCATGAAGCTCTAAGTGGGATTTTCCCAAGGAAAGGATGCTCGGCTCCTCCCCAGCCCCGGCCCTGCCCACCGCCCTCCTCACCACCAAGACGTGCTCCAGGAGGTCCAGGTAGCCGAGGGTGCACTCCGTCCCGTACCGCAAGGCTCTGGTGCGCACCTCCTCACTGACGTCAGGGTGGAAGGAAGCTTGCTGGAGAAAGAAAGGAATGTCATCTTAAGACAGGAAGAACCAGGCGGCAAGTGGACCAGGCGGCCAAGTGGTCCTGTATGTCCTGCCTGTTTCCACTGTAGGTTCTCTGACAAATTTGTGTCTTGCTTTTTCCAGTGCCCAGGGGCCAGACAAAAGCAAGTGAATCTGGCCCCTTTTTTCTTCCTTTCTCATCACGCCGACCCTCACATCTTTTATTGTAAGGTAAGAAATTCCTCACTCTGTGACCAGACCACACTGCAATCATAGCCAGTCTCCTGACCGGGCCCACTGGCTCCTGGGAACCTTCAGAGAACGAGCTCCCCAGCACCCTCAGAGGTGCCATAAATAACTCACATTATACATGTCAAGATAAGCAAACCAGGACATATGGTTAACACAGCATCTGGCCCCCCTTCTTTTTGTATTTGTGACCTGCTGACTTGAGTTACTCAAGAGATATCATTTCACATGGCACATCCATTCCCGGGGCCACCAGTGACTTTGAATTTCGAATAAACAATGAAAACCTTTAGCCTAAGTATGGGGCACCCTGGTGTTTTTTTGTTTTGTTTTTTTTTTTTTGGTCAGTCTGGCAATCCTACCCATTTAGCCTTTCCTACTATAACTTCACTCTGGAAAGAACTCAAAGGGGCTTACAAGAATACAAAAAATAGAAAACTGCAGAAAAATCACCAGTCAGGACAAACACAAATCATGCATTAGGATAAAAGGTCAAGGCAGAAGGGGAAGAGTGACCTGTCTCCACGCTTCCTCCAGTCGAATCCTTCTTCCCAAGGATTGGGGGCTATTTGGAGAATGCCTAGGACTTCTCCTCACCTGCCCTCCCAATTTGAGTGGCTAGCATCTATCATTTATGAGCCTGGTTTTATTCATCTGAGGACTAACAGGCCAGGCCTTTAACTTCTCCCACACTTTCATCAGCCTTGCTCCCCTGTCTCCAAGTGTGAGGACAGAGACCAGGTCTGGTTCAAGGGGGAAGACAAGGGCTATGATGCTCCTCTAGTAGGTAATGCACAAGGCCTCATTGAGAGCTGCATGGGTGCTGATGATCACTGCTGGTCATCACTGCTGGTGGCTCTGACTTGGCAAAACCCTTGGGGAAAGCAACCTAGCAATAACTAGAAAGTCCATTTGACCCACTAACTCTACTTCTGGGAGTTTTGCCTAAGGATATTATCCAAAGCATAGAAAAAAACCCAAAGATGCCCAAAGATGTCCACTGAAGTTGATGATTAAGGAAAATGCAGATAATCTAAATAGCTGATAGTAGGGGAAAGAGTATATTCATTAACAATGTATTTTGTGCTTATTAAAGAAATCAGTTATAATGACTTATAGTAACAAAGAAATAGTCATGTAACATTCATTGTAATTGGAGATATGAAGTTGTATCTGATAAAGACATATGAACATGAAAGTACACTCAGAAAGAAATACACACTGGAATTAACTGGGGGTGTAGGGAAGTCTATGTCCCCATTGGAGCAATTAATGTAATCCTCCATGTCTGATAAGATGAGTCAGTATGTGTCCTTCTACACTTGTTTCTGTCCTGCTCAGCCCCAAAGGTGGTGTTCAAATACGGCCATGTAGCCCTCTGGTTGGCACAGAATTATTCCTTCTTGGCTCACCAACTGGTATTCCTGGTTTTCTACATATTTACTGCACACCCTTTCTGGCAAGCTGCCTCATTTCCTTTCTGCAAGGGATGGGAGATACTGGAGACCACAGAAAATGTAAGCATCAGTAAGTCCTGTCCTGAGAGGAGTCTCCGGGCTCAGCAGTGACCCTTGTCATCAAGTCTGGTGTTGGTATGTGAAGCTCTGGCTGTTATTTAGTCCTGTAAAATCAGGATGGCTTGATTCAGGGCGAGATCACAATGAAGAGTCAGGGCTAGGCCAATGGCACCTCTACTTTAATCCTTAACCTCTTCCCCTGAAGATGGGAACACACAGGAGGAAAATTGGAGCTGTCTTCCATTTCACATCTGTAACATGGTGACAGAGGTACCTGTTGTTCATCAACCATGGTAACCTTGATCTCTGTGACTGGGAGGCCAGAAGGAGCAGAAACAGACTGGCCCGGAGCTCAGAAGGTCTGACCTCAGTTCTGGTTCTGATTGTAAGTGTGACCTTGGTCAGGCCACATCATCTCTCCAGTCAAATTAGGAGAATTCCTAATTAGAAGAATTCCCTTACCCTTCCCATCTAGGATCGAATGACAGAACATACACACCTGCCCATCCAAAGCTCCGGGGTGCCCTTCATGGGCACCATCGTGGTGCTCACTAGCCGTATCTGGCTGGCAAATACTGCTGTGATGGAGGTTACGACCCAAACCAGAATGATCACTTCTGCCAGGGCAGATCCCATCGAGTACATCAAAACTGCACTTGGGAGACTTTCCCAGTGGTCCAGTGGTTAAGACTCTGCCTTGCAATGTAGGGGACGTGGGCTTGATCCCTGGTCAGGGAACTAAGATCCCACATGCCAAGATGTCAAGGGGCAATTACATCCTCATGTCACAGCTGTTGAGCCCATGCTCTCTGGAGCCCACATGCCACAACTAGAGTCCATGTGCCACAAGGAAAGATCCCTCGTGACACGACTAAGATCCAACACAAGCAAATAAATAAATAAAAATAAATAAAATAATAAAACTATACTTGGGGCCCGAGGAGAGTCTAAACTCCCTGGCCCAGCACACGTGGAACTCGTGACAGTGGCCCAACCCTCTGGTCACCCTCTTTTCCTCCCACCTACCCCTGTCCCTCACTCCCTCCCCC